ATGGGGAGTTGTTTGAGTAAGCCGTAAGGCTTATGACGGGGGACCTTGGCGCGGGCACAAGAAGTGCAGGAGGATACGTAACTCTTGACGAAGTTACGGATGCCCGGCCAGGTATACTCATGACGCACTAGATCCAGAGTCCGGTTTTGCCCGAAGTGTCCGGAAAGTTGGTGGTCGTGTTTGTCTCGCAAAACGCGAAGATGGAGATCGTTAGAATCCGGCACGTAAATGCGATTGTCCAGCCTTAAGAGGCCTTCGGCATCAACGGACCAGCGGGAGTTGGGGAGGTTGGGGGAAGCGAGATGAGAAGAGATTGAGGTGTCGGAGGAGAGGGAGGTTAGGATGTCTCGATGAAGAGCCTCTGTGTCAACGAGTACGGCTGCTCGGATTACTGTGGCAGCTAGGAACGTGGCTCGTAAGGACGCAGTGAGCTGCTCCGAAGTGAAGACCGGTCGGAAGTTCTGCGGATTGACGCGAGCGTAGTCCATATCCCCTTCTTTGGGATAGACGTCCCAGCATCTTGTCAGCGCATCTGGTTTAACTCCGAGTCTTCCAGGACGGAATTGGACTGTCATGTGGAATTGGGAGAGGAACTCTGACCAGCGGGCTTGCCGCCGGGTCAAGAGTTTGGTGGTGGAGAAATACTCGAGGTTCTTGTGGTCGGTGACGATGTCGATTGGGGTTCCTGAACCTTCGAGGTAATGACGCCATGATCGGAACGCATCATGAATGGCGAGCAGTTCCTTGTCATGGGTATCGTAATTGAGCTCCGGCGCCAAGAGTGTTCTTGAGCGGAAAGCGACGGGGCGAATCTCTCCGTCATCACAGCGAATGGAAAGGATTCCGGAGATTGCGTAATCGGAGGCGTCGGTTTCTACGATGAGGGGGGCGTCGGGTAGCCAATGTGTGAGGATAGGAGCGGAGGTGAAGGCTTCTTTCAAGGTGTTGAAAGCAGCGCGACAATCGTCGGAGAATAGCCAGGGGGCTCCTTTACGCGTGAGGCGCGTCAAGGGGACCACAATGTCGGAGTATTGGTGAATGAAACGCCGATAGAAGTTAGCGAAGCCAAGGAAGGATTGGACATCCTTGACTTTACGGGGCTCGGGCCAATCTTGGACGGCTTTGACTTTCTCGATGGACATGGTGAGTCCGGAAGGAGAGAGGCAGTAACCGAGATATTCCGTAGTGTCTGTATGGAACTCGCATTTCTTCGGATTGGCGTATAGGCCGTGTTTGCGGAGTCTCCTAAGAACTTCTCGGACATGCTCCTGATGCGAAGCCATGTCTTTCGAGTAGGTAAGGATGTCGTCTAGGTAGACTACCACAGAAACGTCCAGGAGGTCGGCAAAGATCGTGTTGACGAATCGCTGGAAAGCCGCAGGTGCATTCGTGAGACCAAATGGCATGACAAGCCACTCATAGGAACCATAGCGCGTGCGGAAGGAAGTCTTCCATTCGTCGCCTGCTGCAATGCGAACCAGGTGGTAAGCATGCCGGAGGTCGAGTCTGGTATAGACCGTGGCACGGCTAGGTGCGTCAAGGAGGTCGGAGATGCGGGGAAGAGGGTAGCGATCCTTTTTGGTGATCTTGTTCAGCCCTCGGAAGTCGACGCAGAGACGGAGGGATCCGTCCTTCTTGCGGATGAAGAGGACCGGTGCTGCGTGAGCGGAAGTAGCGGGGCGAATGAAACCGGAGGCCAGGTGTTCATCTAAGAACGCCCGGAGGGCCTCGAGTTCCGAAGGAGAGAGAGAGTACATGGTACCCAAGGGTGGGGAGGTGCCTTCCTCAAGGTCGATCTTTAGGTCGTGCTCACGGTGCGGTGCCAGCATCGAGGCTTTGCTCTTACTGAACACATCCGCGAACTCGTGATACTCCTTCGGAACGGCCGAGAGGTCGACGGAATCGGTGTGGGATGAGGCAGCCCTCAAGCGGCTTTCCTCGGAAGGGATGGTTAGGCTGAAGGATACCGATCCTTCAAGTCGGCAAGCCTTCGCGAATGCGGAACGGCTGACAAACTCGATAGATGGTAATGGAGGAGTAACAGCCTGTGACTGAGGTGCTGGCGAAACATCAGATGGTTGGATGTCGGACGACGGCAGTGTTGCCGGAGACGACGGGGGAGAGCTCGGAGTGACTGTCTTGGTAGGTTCGGAAGTTCGGAACGTAATACTGCTTGAGACCCAATCAATCAACGGATTGTAGCAGGTAAGCCAGTTGTGTCCTAGGACTAGGGAACATGATCCATCCAGCGATGTGACAAAGAAAGTCGTGGGGGTGATGTTTCCGGAAGCGAAGCGGAGGGGAATATCAACGGCATGGGTTATGATTGAGTTGGTGCTACCGTCGAATAGGCATAGTTGTAGGGGTTTGATCTGGTATGTCTTCAAGGCCAGCTTTTTTACGAAGGTGTCGTCGATGAAGCAGTCCGAAGACCCAGAATCTACGAGTGCGGGTACGTTCTCATAGGAGCGGAAAAGTTTATTTTGTGTCCTACTATTGGACGGAGGAGAAACAGGAAGAGAAGAAGACGAAGAGAAGCGGAGAGAGGTGGATCGATCTACGGAAGTAGTCGGAGGGGGCGGAGGAGAGAGTGGTACATCAGCAACACTATCTACAACGGGTAGAACATTGCCCGAGGGGTCAACATTGAAAGGAGAAAATAGACCATTTGAAAGAGAGAAGGAAACGGGAATGTGGAGGGAGGATAAGTCAGAAATGGAAGACGCGTTTAAACGCACTTCTTTGAGCGCACGGAAGGAAGGATCGCAACCCCCGGTCCATGCGGAGTCCACAGGGGTGCGGACTAATTTTTTGCTTCTGCGGAAGCGGATCCTTGCTCCTCGGTCTGGGCCGAACGGGCCTTAGAGGCGCGAGAAGAAGACTTGGGACAATCCTTGACCATATGGCCAGACTGACCGCAGAACATACACAGTTTCTCGTCGAGACGACGCTTACGCTCTTGTGGTGTGAGCTTACCGTTGTCTCCGAGTTTAGATGAGAGGTCCGGTTTAGCGGAGCTGGCCTCGGACTTCTTATTGTCCTTCGGAGGCCTACTACCGGAAGCGGAGTTGAAAGAGGAGGAGGAAGGGACGGGGTCGGAACGAGAAGCGGCGGTGGACTTGTCGAAAACGTTAGAGGAAGAGGGTTTCGCGTGACGTGTAACTTCCGATTTACGCTCCCAATAGCGTGCATCGAGAGTTTGGGAAAGGGTGCGAAGCTCAGAGAGAGTAGAGGGTTTACCTACTCTGGCAATATCATCCTTGATACGTTCCGGCAATCCGTTATAGAAGAAACGACGAAGCGCGGCTTCTCCGTAACCGTGAAGTTGAGAGGCGTGTCGATTGAACTCGACGATGTATTTGTTGATGTGGTGCCCGTCCTTCATGTCCAGTGTCATCAGTTGAACCTCGGCGTCGCCCACAGGATCGTGAGGGCCGAAGTTAGTTTGAAGTTCATTAACGAACTCTTGATAGTCGTTCATCCATCGCGGACGAAGCGTGGAATTCTGGTCGAATAACAGGTCCGGCTCGAACCAATCGAGGGCCATTCCCTTGAGGTAGGACTGCGCAAATATGACTTTAGCGCGGTCGCTAGCGAAAGCGAGGGGACGGTCCTGGAAGTTGAGCTCGCATTGGACCAAGAATACTCGGAGTTCTCGGGGATCCTTTCCATCGAACTGTTCGGGTTCGCGGACCTTGGTCCGGAGAGCAGAAGATGGTCGTCGTCATCGTCGTCCGGTGTGACGAGCCAGACTGGCAATGGCTTGGGCCAATTGTGTAATGGCCACGTTGGAGGTGGGTTCGGGATCGTCGGTGGTTGGGACAGTGGGAATGGGAGGATCAGCAGGAGGAGGGTCGACGAAGTCGGGGACCTCGGAACCGAGTCCAAAGAAGTGGGCGGGATCTATGGGTTGTTCCGTGGTATCTCCGAAGTCGGAGTCTGCGACTGGTGATCGATTCCTAACGGGGCGCATGATCGGAGTCGATGGGAGAGGGGTTTCAAGGTTAGAAAAGCTTCGAAACTCAACTGGGTTTCTCGCCAATCGACTAGGACCAGGCTGAGAGGGTTCTGGGGAAGGTGAAGCGGAGTTGGGGACTAATGTGCGTAGTTGCGAACGAGTGCGAAGGACTTTTGGTGCCATACAAGACGTGTACTAGTCAGGGAGTAGAAAAATACTGTCAGAGACCAGACTTGAGACGAAGGAATGTCTCCGTAACGGAGGGCTTTGGCCTCAGCGACTTCTGCCAAGAGCGCTGTGCCTAGTGACACGTCCGTGCCCTAACTTACTGACTGGCACTTAGAACCTAGGGGGGGTAACTCTAGTTGATTTTTCTACTGGGGCGTAACCTATGTACAAGTGGGATATATATATGGTTACAGCGGAGACGGTTCCGCAATTGGCGGAGCCGAACGGAGCGGAACTAACGGGGTTTAACCATTAGCCGACTGAATATTACCGACGAGTCGGTTCACGGGGTTAGCGGAAAGGCAGGCGATAACCCAGAAATGGAAAGGAGGGATAAGCCCGAAGGTGGACTCTGCAGGGCAGGCGAGTGTATTGCTCAGCGGAGGCGGGGGTGCGCTAGCGGACGTCGGAGCTGTCCGGAAGTCTTCGGGGCTCCGTACTTAGGGAGGCGTAGGTAATAAATTGAAATGAGGGGGTGGTGACCATCGAGGGGTACCGAGAGGTTTGCGGAATATGGGGGCTCCGAGGTTGGTGAGGGGGGAGCGGAGTTAGAACGGAGGGATCGGAGAGACCGGAAGTCGATGGCTGGGGATGGATATGACAGCCATATCCTCTTGGAGTTGCAACACAGCTGTTGGCAATCCTCGCGATATCATCCTTGTCGATGTTAGCTTTTTCGAGGAAAGTTTTGAATATCGAGTTTGGTTCTTGGATTTTCTGGGATACCACGTTGGCGACAACCACGCTTTCATCAAGGTTTGCACCTAAGTCTTTAAGGGTCACGACATAGCTTGTCGGGCAATAGGTGGCCAGCTCAATGGCGATAAAGCAGATAGAGCGGCTCATCCAGAGGTGTCTGGTCACCAGAAGGTGGGCATGGGAGGGGTGGAGACCTTCGATTAGGAAGCCCCAGGGTGCCCCCGCAGGTCATATCCTTTGGCAATGGGGGGCAGACCTTGATGAAGGGGGTGGATAAGGGGAAGGCTCTGGTTAGGAAGATTGTGAGGTCATTCCTCATTTTGTGGTCATTCTCAGGACTATGTTTAGCATCAAGGGGGTAGATCAGGATTGCTCTCGGAGTCGTAATCCACTGGTTGAAGTGGGTTTCGTTGATGTTTGCTAGGATGCGAGCTGGGCGGGCTCCGTGGGCACGGAAGTTGGCCAGCTCTCCCGTGAGGTCGATGTAGTTATAATCTGGGTTGTCATCTAGGGGTCTCAGAGTGGTGGCAGTGGCCTGTGCAGGGGCGTCCGTGGGCGCAGGGGAGCGAGTTAAACGGGGGGGGTCAGTTGAGCTGTTGGTATCAGTTGTAGCCGGATTTGGGTGGATGTTAGCGGGTATAGTTGTGGCTACTGGGGTATTGTAGTTTGCAAGGAAAGGGTCGTCAGTGTTAGCAGGGACCCGGAACATAACATGGGGTGGGGCAAGAGTAGGGCCTTGGATTTTTGCAGATTCCGGGGACCGGAGGCGTTTCAGAGTTTCAGATGTAGAACTTGTGAGAGCCTGGGGGCAGGGAGGTGTGGTAACGGGGGGGCACATGTGGTTGCTGAGTGATATAGGGAGCATAGTGAATTGGGGGTTTGCCCCGGGGATGGGGTCATTCCTGAGGGTGTGAGCTATCATATCCACATCGAACGTGCTGGTCACCATTGGAGTGTTTTGCAGTGCGTGGTGGGTTGGGCTAGGTGGTGGGGGAGGGGTAGTACGTGCACCTGCGGCGTGGGAGGGAACCACTACATAATGTAGTTGTTAGTAGTTATTTAGGAGTCGCTCTCGGGTAACACACATTTCTGGTGTGCCTCCATTTTTACGAGAGTGGGACGAGAGGCACTTGGTAGTGCTTCATGGCTCTTTTAAGCCTAATCCTTTTCGGGATTACCCGGGGTACTGGGGAACTACATCCGTTTGATGGAGGTACATCCATAGGTACCCGACTCCTAGCCCCTTCTCAGACCAGTGCCCATTGGCATAATAGCCTTGTAAGGGGGCTACTGGGTCGCTTTCAGGGGACTTTTTGGCCTCAGATTTTGAGGCCGATGTTCTTCCGTAATAGGAAGGTAGTGGTTCCTCTGCAATAGAAGTTGGTGATCCGTTTTTGTGCGTTCCTAGGATACATAGGTTGGACTTGAACTGAATTAGAATTCAACTGAACAAGTGCCCACTCATTTGTGATGAAAGCATCTCTTTGCTCTTGTCATGCTGAATCAGGTATCGCTCTATCATCAGGTGTGATCCCAAGAGCGCCGCACTGCTTCAGATATAGATCCCAATGCTTCCCCCCATAATGACCAATATGCTTGCAGAGTGTGCTTGATGCAGAACTAGCTGAGAAATGCGGTGTCAACAGTCTTGAACGATCCCCTTTGTTGTAAGCAGATCTGTTGCATGTTCATTGACCACTTAACAGAATCATAGATACTCTTGAACTCACTGGCACACCCAACATATCCGATAACTTTCTTTCCCAGCCTCATGAACAACGTCGGTGAACACTGTTTCAAGGTCTCGTGTCTGCCATGCTTTCTGGGTCTGTTGGATTGCTTGGGAAACATGCACATCTTCTGATGCGAATTTTTCCTGATCCTCATCAGCCCCAGGTGCAACCTCATCATCCCCATCTGCGTCCATTCCATCCGAATCAACTTCGGGCCTGGGTGCTGGCACTGGTCCCTTTGCCGCACTGCCGGTTCGGGCTCACTTCAAAGCTTTCGCTTTTTTCCCCCAGCTGGACTTGTTCCGCTTCTTTGGACTGCACTGTTGCTCTTAGTCCGATGTGGATGGACCCCCGGAAGCAGCATTCCTGAGCTTGGTTGTCGTTGTCAAGTGTTTTGAGTTCTCAGGTAGCCCAAGATTTTTTGATTGGTGTCTGACCTCCAAGAGTGCTTCCAGGGTTCGCTGAGCAACACCGACATCCTTGTTCTGCGAAGCATTAGGCCGATTTTTGGTTTTGTTGGCAAGTTTTTGCTGTTCGAAAGCTTCAACTGGATTTTCGCAAGTAACCTGCTTTACAACCCACTTTGGCCTTTGCAATGTCTGATGAGCAGTAGGTAGGTCATCATCTGGATTATAAGCCCCAGAATTAGGGGGTGGGTGTGGACCGTGTGGCAAAGCATCCGAAGGACTGAAGACGAATTGGTCTGGTTTGTCGGCAGCATCGCGTAGTTTACCATCTGGACCCAGCATTGGGTTCTCGGGGTCTGTGTGCCACCCACTTTCAGGCTGAGCATCCATCCCAAGGATTTACTGGCACAATGCCCAAAGTGTACAGTTGAAAGCAGTTTCCCTTTTGCGAGTCCCCGGTCATCCCCGGACACAACTGACAGAGTGATATTAACAGGATATTAACAGACTCAGTTAAGTAACATGGACTTCATTCGCGATAAAGTGATTAATAAAATAGATTTTATGAATACATTTATGTGATATATACCCTGGGTTACATACCCGCACTTACCATGGTTCCACGGTTCGGTTCGGTTTAGAACCGGTTCATCTCACCCTCCCAAGGTAGAGAACCAAAACCGAACCACCAGGGAACTGGGTCAAAACCGAACCACGGTTCGGTTCCAGAAATGGTTTGGTTCTCGGTTTGGTCCCGGTTCTCAGGGAACCGCGGCACCCCTAATTGCCATGCTAGGGTCTTTCCTTATGTTGTACATCCCGATCCGATCGATCGTGGCTCCGTCGCCGAACCATTTGGGTACGAACTGTCAGTTCGCATGTGGCTTCGGTGCAGCCGAAAGGACCCCATTTCTAGGAGGCTCCGTGTGCGGCCATGCATAGTTGTTAGTTTCCGCTATAAGCTGGCTCCATTATATCGATGATACTGGTGTGCCGAATGCGTTGACTGGCTATTGTCGACTCTACCGTGTGGCTCCTGATCTGTATCACCTCCCTAGCTTCACTCGTAAACCCTGCACGGGGTTCCAGTGCTACAGGATTGTCCTTAGCTAGCGAGAATGCTACGCAACACGAATGAGCTCTATATATAGTTCCCATGGACACTTACAGCGACAAACGAAGGCCCTGACCCGAATAATAGAATCAGGGAGATGTAGAGCGACAGGTGTTTCTGGTTGGGGTGAAATCGCAGCAGTCATGGTACGAACGAGCATGCTCCTCTGCGGACAGACGGACATGGGGCTCCACACCGGCATTGTCTTAGATCAGGTTGTATTCACTATTTGGAGGTGGAGGAAGGAACAAAACCATGATGGGATGCCAATCTCGTGACAGATACGGTGCCGAGGTGTGCCATATTAGAGACGCGGGCTATTTATCAATGGGTGCATCGGCTAGGAACAGATAGCTGGCCAAATGTCACGACCCGACATATCCGTCACTTCCCTCCATGCGCCCTAGTGCCACTTGGTCCGTCCCTCCCGCTATCATCATCATCCGTCCACCCATCTGTCCACCTGTCACCCTCATCCGCACTTCCTCCCTCACGCGCGTACCTACCAACCTAGGTTGCCCGCTTCATTGTTGTCCACCCCCAGCCGGACGGCTTGCTAGACGGCCGGATGGCCTTTTCTCTTTTGTCCGCTTACGGACTATTGTTCTTTCCTTTTGTTCCTTGCTTGCCTTTTGTTGATCAAGTTTGCCGATATTAACTATTTGTTCCTTTCTTCATTCATTAATATCGCGCTTGATCTGCCACTCCTTCCGGGCCGGTCTCATTTAGTTACTTGTGTTTATAACGCGTGTAGGTTACACCGGATGTACCTCAGTTCGTATATCGACTTGGATTCCCCCTCTGAACTCTTATCCTCATCGTAAGGCTTCTGTCTGAAATTGGGACACCAACGTAAGAACGAAGCGCAGCGCTCCACCTGAGTCGCTGAAGCTAAAGTCCCGCCCCTCCGACCTTACGAGCCCGGACGACTTCGCGCGCCTCGCGGGTCACCCGGATACACTTCTGGCACGTTCCTGACACCAAATGATGATACAATTTTATTGTCGTGGTCGGTGAGTGGGAGTAGATGTATGGACTCCGGATATAAAAGCCAGGGTCGTTAACTATGTGGTCTTGGACACGACAAACCTGCCGAACTCCAGCTTAGGTGTCGATTAGACCGTTAGCATAAGAACATGGGCTGGCATGTAAATGCGGAAATAGATAATAACGGACTGCTAAAGCTTAGGGCGCTGCAACCATCTTGATGGTGCCTGGTTAGGCCCAACGTGATCGCATGGGTACGTACTCCTAGTTAGGGCGCCCGGTCCACCTACTCAGCGCTTTGAATCATGGTGGAGAGGAAAGGAATGTATGGCGAGCCTTCATTCGCGGTTGAAACACCTAAGCACTAGAAGAATGAGTGGTCTTAACGTGAAAATCGCACCGCATGAAACACCAACAAATGCCCTGATGCATAGCCAGGTGGATATGCAGAGTGTGTGGCAGGCACTGCAGATAAGCGGGCCGAACGAAAGCGGAAGATGGGAGATGGGGATCGGACAACTTGAGAGAGAAAGGTGTAGGGAGTTTCCTAGGATGACATTCGTTTTCCCCAGTCGTGGATAACGTAGAGGTGGAAATCCATATCAATTATAGTGCTTTGACCCCTCTACGTTAAAATCGATCTAGTAGGTGAGATCGGATCCATAGTATTAGGTCATGATGGATTGGTGAGCTTGCTTCAGATCGCCGGAACCTGATGTGAGGCCCCGACATCGATGACTGAGGTAAACATCGCTTCCCTTCTCCGTCACACAAAATGTGACGAAAGCTGGAATGGGTTTGATCTAGTTGCCAATAAATGATGGGATACGTCGGGGAGCGTTCGGTAGGCAGGACTCCTGCCTCTATGACTTCGTAATATTATGTGAATGCAAATTATATAGACGTTCTTTCGGAGCGAGCCGCAATTCAATTACATATACCGGATCGCTTGTTACCAAGTACTGTGCGTCTCAAATTCACGTCTTCAACGATTTACACTGAGAAAAAAATATCCATGAGAAAATCCTCCGTGAAGTAGGATTAAAGTCCCACTGAGATGCAGGATTTTGTCTAAATTTTCCATGTTGGAAAAATCCTGCTGCCGTACATGATTGTGACCAGAATCCTGTCAAAAAGTCCTGCTGAATAACAGGGAATAATCCTTTTATCATGTAATTATCCGTAATAATATCCTAGGAAATCATGCTCAAAAGCAGGTCAAATCTTGTCTAATGACGGCTTATGTCTGACTGGATGAAGGATTATATATTGACTAGTCGACACGATAATATGACTGGAGCGCTGCAAAAACATAATGAAATGACAACCGAAAGTGAGGGGTCATAGAGTTGTCGCAGTGTCAGGAACTTGAAAAGTTGAGGCGAACAACGGGGGGTCGAGAGTGCCGTGAGCATTGTTGGAGAAAAGCATAGGGGTGGGGGTTCAGTGCGACATATTATTAGTACTGCGGCTTGCCTAGCACCGTTACTAGTGAGAGAAGCGCATGGTGAAATGTTAAGCACTCACCTGTACATGTTGGATTATGAGTCTTGTCACCGTTCAGGCAACATGTCCCATGCACAGCGCTAGCGTGCAACATCCCAAACATGCGACACTGCCTTCCCGATTGGTCCGTGCACCAATCACCTTGTAGCATGGCCTAGATATAAAAAGTGCCATAGTTAAATGCAATAATAGTCAACTTTGGTACTTACCTTAGTCCCTTGTTATCTCGTGAGTGCAGCCGCTGATCACCACAGTCTACTCATAACAACAGTACGTGGTAAGAATGTACCCAGTAATGGTTGGCCACCTTGCGATTTCTTGCCGATGCCCTAGTACCAGTGACAGGTTTTGAGATCGAAGCGACAAGTTGGGGGAACTCAATGGTATCTGGCCTGAAGGTCATCAGATTTGATAATATGAGAGGGTTACGCACGTTATGGTCAATCTCAGAGCCGCATGGCATTGGAATCGGCCCTGGACGCGTTTCTTTGTGCTGTATGACTCTAGTTGGTTTTTGAAGACAAAAAAAACGGTTTAAGTAGCTCCTTACACGTGTTAACTTCTGCCAGGAGCTCTACCCATATCATGAAGATGGCACAGTCATGGCACGAATGTGAACCACACATAAGTGCATTGTTCCAAGAGAAAGGGCACACCTTCACGTGCCGCTTCTAGCCTCCCCTGCCCCCGATCAATTGCTCGCTTCTGGCTAGAATGAGGCATGGTGAGTGAGTTGTGTTCACGGAGTGTGGGATTGAAGTTAACCCGAGGGCCAACATAAACAACACCAAACACACTGACACAACCCGTCGAAGTCCCAACTCCCTCAGTTGCAACATTTCATTACTATTGGGCCTCTGCTACTCTGCTTCCAGCATTTACATCTATTAATAGGCCCAAACTAAGGGCTCCATCATTCCTATGGGCGACAGCTTCTCTGGAACGCCACAGCTCGTAGATGCCCGCTAGCATTTTTGTATTCCCCTAAGTCCAACCCGAGCGGCCCTTTTGGCTCATGGCCTCATGATTGTTGTGAAGTGATTTTGCGGCGAGTCGCTATATCTTTTGGAAGACCTTCTGGGCGCTTCGGGCTCGATCGATGAGGAGTGGAGTCTGTGACGATGGGGCTTCTTCGTGCAGTCCCTTTGCATTGATGTGAATGGATCTTGAGGGTTGGATGCGCGAGTTTTGGTTAATTGGTCGATTTTCGGTGCGTTCGCGTTATTGTTTCTGGCTTTCATCTCCCCCCTGAGTCGCCATTCTGACGTTCTGTGACGCCCTTAGATTCGTTTCCTACACCCCATTTCCCCTTGTCATCGATTTCCACCCCGACATGTTTGCTACTTCCTGTTTCGAAAAACTCGACATCGCATTCCTTCGACAACTTGCACTATCTTTTTTGGGTTTTTCAGGGACATGAGCGTGAAGAGCCGAAGCTTGGCCTCCTTCCAAAGTCAACGTCGATATCAAAATGCGCTGTAATCGCAAAACCAGACATGATGCAATTTCTGAACTAGCATATTTAAAAACAGTTCCATACGTCGAGGTTGTGGATCTAGACGCTGCGTGTACCGTTGTTGGTCGACTCAGGGTTGGGGAGGTGGATCCATGTGGGCAGTTGTAGATCGCAGCGGATCCTTGAATATATGTCATAACATGCGTTACAAGATAACAATATTATGGCTGAAAATTATAGCGTATACAAGTTTTGATGATAAAATCCTCCTTGTGCAGGATTTTAGATAGCCTGGAACCGCAATCCTGTCATGCAGCAAGATCGACGGAAAATCCTGTCACGGAGAATCCTATCCCTTGCCAAGATTTTCTACGAAATCCTCACGTCCGCATGATTTTGTCATGGAATCTTTTTCCCCAGTGTTTAATGAAGGCCATGTCTGAAGCGGACAGGGGTTGGAAAGCAATGAAGCTCTGATCACAGCTGAATTTCGTCCGGGCAACTCATTCGTTCGACGGGACACAAAACGGGATCTCAAATATCGGTGGGGTGCCTGGTCCACAAGTGTCCTGTCTTAGCGTTCACGTCATTGGCCAAACGCAACAGAAAACCCAGAGCGGATAATCGGGTGACCACACACATTTGGAATTCGTTTGTATATCTATCTTATCTACGCTCATTTAGTTGCCCCTTTCGATTTCGCGATCTAATAATAAGTGCTGCAAGCTCGCACGGTGTTGATTTATGTAACTGGGTGGACTCATGATCCCTGGAGAGTGCAGCATGGGTCCAAATTGAGAAACAGGCACGACGTTGCAGCTTTTGTACGTATTTATAAATTTCATATTCTTGTCTGTTGTGGGATATAAGAAGCTTGTACTATTGGACTCAAGTTGACTGGAGTGATTGAGCACCAAGCGTGTTGGCAATTGACAAGTACTGCTGGTGCGAAGTTCAGCCACCCAAACTTTCCAGACCCATCCTGAAAATCCACTCTGCTTTCACCAAGATTGATCTCGCAATGAGGACTAGCACCTTTACGACCTCTCTTTCTTTCGTTTTCCTCCTTCTCATCTCCCCGGCTCGAAGTCTGATCCACAGCATTTCCGCACCTACAAAAATCCTTCACCCAGGTGAAAAGTTCATCGTGACATTCCACACAACCCCTTACATCCAAAGCAACCTTCAATTCTACGCTCTCTTCGGGATTGCACCCTTTCCTGGCTTGGGAGTGTCCTTCTTGGGACTTCCCATTCCGGCTGTGGCCCCCGTTCCTGGTGCAGATGGTGGATTGGGTTTACGTAACCTCTTTAGCGGACCCAGCGGGAAGGGAAAATCTGGGATCGACATTGGTGGAATAGATCTCTGGGAGGCGAATTTGGGGAACATTGGTAGTCCGAAGGGATTCAACGTGACGTTGAGGTTACCCGTGGATTTGAGCACGACGAAAAATCGAGTGACGAAAGTCGTGCTTCAAACTGGTGTGCTTGGAAACGTATGCCTTGGTCATTTACTAGTTTTCGCACATCACGACTAACCACTTTGATTTTGATTTGATTTTTCTTTTCATTCCTCCGTTCAAATCTAAACCACCAAACTCGTCGATGACGTAATATTTCGGGACGGGTTACCCAGGTGGGAGCATCTAGGTTCACAACGCTGTCCTTTTTCAACACTACGATTAGTATCAAGTCTCCCTAACGCTCCTGATGCCCACCCCAACAAATTTCTAACGCGTTTCATCGATATTATTCCCCGGACCACATTCGTGTATAAGTGATCTAGTGCTCGTTTTACTCCCGTCCATTTTTCTATTCATTTTTGTTTGTACATGGACCGAACTGCTCTACAGCCAAACCTGGGGAGATCATCGATCTCGGACGACAATATATCTTCTGAAAATGTTTGCAAAAATGGTTGACATTGGCCCTGGGGAATCGGGCGGATTGCAATTGCAATGGTTCAGTTCGTGTTGTCCAGGTCGAACAACGAATGCCAAGGAATTGGTCGCTCCAGCGTAAGTGTCAGGTCGTAGTTCATCCGACAAGGATTGACATAAGAACCCACTCAAGGGAGTCATCGGCGCAAGCAGGTGGATCACGACCCATTCACGGTTCCTTTCGACGCGCAAGTAACTCGCCATGCTGGACCGTTTCATGCTGGTGCCGGCTTCCGCGATAAGGTCCCTCATTGATCATGAAAATACTCCTGGCGAGACGATATTGAATTGTGGCCAAAATAAATCTGGGAGCAATGTTGCGTTTGGCTCGGCCATCACGAGAAGGGGATGCTGTAACAGATCGTAGGTAAGATAGAGCAGGCAGGTGCAATTGAGTGCACATGTGGTGCGCCCGAGGAAGTATCCGCAAGAGAGAGAATGCATGCACAAATTGATGACGGAGGCGGCTCTCTAACGATAACACTGCTAGTTCGGCGCCGATGCATGTGTATACATGCACAGATACGGTATGTCATCCCAGTGTTCTCCTCCCAGCGCATGTGTGCATGGCGTGAATAATTATACAGACAAAAAGTTCGTAGGCCTACGCCATGTTCACTGCGTGGAAGTATTTTCAGTCGTGTACGCAATCATCCATCGCGGATCAGCCAATAACCTATTCTGCGGCACAGACATTTTTCAGCGTGTGTGTGTGCGTATATGTATCATTTTAAACCCCGTATCTGTGCCTGTGAGACGGAGCACCCAAACTGTCGAGTGATGTGTTACATCTAAGCTGATTGCCAAGTTCGTTTCCAGGTCATGGTTCAATGCTGGATATAAGTATCTGGTCTATGATGGCGATAGCCAACTTGTTGCTAGGAAGTTGAACGACTTTGGGCGTTGACTCGAATGCGAGGTGAAGGTCTGGGCTAGACAAAGATAGCTTACACTCGGCCGCTGTGCCTGATACCTGTCCTGAGCATTCCCAGGTGACGCTGCTGTTACCAACGGATGAGCACAGCCTCAGGCCTGCTCTGGAGCTAGGACAAGTTGGTACGTACAAGTGCTAGATCAGTGCACGCTGACACCTTCAGAAATCCTTATCTCGTCGTACATCATTAGAGGCTGGTAACCTGCCCAGCCGATCATTTGCTTCTGGGTACGAACTTCCGGTATGCACTGTGACTTTACACGGGCTGTCAGTTCGCATGCGGCTTCGGCGCAGCCGAAAGGAGACTGGCTATTGTTTACTGTATGATTCTGATCTGCATCACCATAAGGCCAAGCTCCCTGGCTCCACCCGCAAACGGCCCTGAATCAGATCCTTAGCGAATCTCCCGCAACAATGAGCTCTGTATATGGTCCCCATGGACACTTACAGTAACAAATGAAGGCCCGACCCAAACAATGAAATCAGGGAAGTGTAGAGTCACAGGGTTTCTGGCCGGGGTGTGATCGCAGCTGTCGTCGGTGCGAACGAGTATGCCCCCTCTACTGACGGACGTGCGGGCTCCACCCCGCCCAATCGACATTGTCTTGGTCAGCACTGGTTGGTCTTCTGCTCAGCCGCCGTATGACGTCAATCCGGCCCCGATATTGTTTGCTGTCCAGCTGCGGACGAACGTTCAATGCAAATTGTGTTTACGTTCTCTCTCGGAGTTCAGTTACTGGATACGATCAATACCACTTTTCACCGGACATACGTATGCACATTACTCTAATGGAGATGTGCTTGTAACCACTCTGGCGTAGGGTGACTTAATGAGGGCGTTCCTCATTTGGGCAGGGGTGGGAATGGCATTTGGCTTGGGCGAAGCGGCGATGAACACGGTGGATTTTCTCCCACAGTGTGTTGCCTCACATTTGCGTGTTCAACCTTACTCTGCTCTTCGCGGCCGGTAGAACCCCTTCGTTCGACTTTCTCGCCCAGAACACGAGCCTGATCTCCGTATCACGGTGGAGTGCTTAATCACGTTTGCACCTTCTTCAAGCCGCGCTCATGGCCACACGTCGCACCATCTACTTGTCTCATCGCATTTTCCTCGACCGTCTGCGTCCTGAACGAAAGCAAGTGCGCGAGCGACCGTGTGTCAATGACCATTGACCAACGACTGAATAGAAACGTCATGCCTGTCTGGGATGTAAATGCGCTTGATCGAGTTGCCAATGTGTGCATACGTACCGTAGAGTGGCATTAATATAGGGCTTCTAGGTTGAGGCCCAATCGCATTCTCAATCTACAACGACAAGCACTAAATTATGTTGCCAGCGAAGTAAATGTAAGCAGGAAAAAGAATGAAGGGGAAAAATATGCGAAACTTGTGAAGATCGACTTTGACATTGTCGGCGGCGATGACGACGGATCGGAAGACGATGCCGGCAATGCATTTGACATAAAATGGCGCTGAAGTGTTTGCGCGTTGTATTGTAATTGAAAATTTTGGTCACAGAGCTTCGGGCCCCTCCGTAGTAAAACCAGCTCTCAGTGCCCTAGCGCACCAGTGCAAGCTCTCAAACGCTCCAAGAAGGTAGGTCAACCACATAGACCATTTTGTATTGACTGAGTCACGAGTACTAGGTGGTACGAGTCCGCGCGCACATCAGCTTCTGTTGTTGCCTTTTAGGTTTGCCTCAGGTGTTCTGCCCCGATGTCCAAGGTCTCCCATAATCTGCAGCAATAACCCACTCTTCCTATCGAAGCGCCCTCAGAGCCGTCATAGCATCAGGTGTCTGTAAGTTTACTCTCGCCTTATCGTACATACATTTTGGCGCATCTAGACATGCGCTAATCATTGTCCAATCCTAGTCCTTCGCACCATGGATACCGTTTTGCCAGTTGCGATGGAAATCTTATCTACAATCCAGGATGTCCCGAACCTTAGTCGGCAGTTTGGTACTAAGGCTCTCGTTACACGGGGCGGCTACTCCGAGGTTTATCTCGCAGAATGGATCCAACCTGGCACCCAGGCTTCTTCTGTCAATGTATGTTCTCTTAAACTGGGGTACTGGCTGTCTCACTTCACTGCTTCTATTGAGGTCTGCTACAAAGTTCTCAGACCACCTATGAGGGACATGCCGGCTGTCGTGGAACAGATAAGGAAAACTATGAAGGTGAGGAATTTTTTCGGCCTGACTGATAGCCTACAAGACACCATTCGGCACCAGCACTTGAAGAGAGAGATGAAGATATGGAAAGATTTGGATCATGAGAATATCGTGCAATTCATCGGTTTTGCAATTGAAGATCGGGGTGCAATACCAGAGGCGGCATTAGTGTCCGAATGGTGTTCAAATGGGGACCTCGTTCAATATCTGCATCGCAATCCATCCTGCAATCGGCTGGCTTTGGTGAGCAGTATTGGCGAATCTCGTGGACTTACAAGATGAACATCGTCAAAATAGCTTCTTGATGTTGCCCGAGGTCTGACTTACCTCCACGATCGTGACCCTGTTGTTGTCCATGGCGATCTCAAGCCTGTAAGCCAAGTCGTATTGTGAAGCCGGCACGGGGCGATTGACGTCGTATAGTCCAACGTATTGATCAGTGACACTGGGCATGCCAAGTTGTGTGACTTTGGCTTCTCTTTGATAGCGGACGGATTGACAACAGGGTTCACATCGTCAGGACCTGGATTCACCTTACGCTATTGTGCCCCAGAAGTCCTGGAGAGCGGTAAGAAAACGAGACCCGGTGATATGTATTCATTTGCCTGTACTTGTGCCATGGTGAGCCCTTGCAATTCGCGAACATAACATCCCTGCACTTGACTGAAACTTAAGCAGATCCTTTTTAATGAAAGTCCCTTCCCTTCGATCACCAATGACGCCCATCTATGGAAGGCGTTTGAATCCGGCCAATCGCCTTGGGACTGGAAGCAGTCTTCTCCGGTAGAGAAAATACTATCTGGTTGTTGTGCGGTTTCTCCTGATGCGCGATCGACGATGCGAGAGGTCTTCCGATCACTCATGGATACCTGCGCTAAGCCAGGTTCAGCCTCGATCTTCGAGGTGTCTGACCCTGAAATAGACCTTCCATTGCCGCCACCACTCTCCGACAGCTCAGTGAATGTATTCCTTACGCCAGATGGAGGCCGTACAAGCTTAATGCTCGCAACGTCGTCCAAGGAGACGACGACTCAGGTTGATGCGAAAGTAGCTCCTGTTGCCTCTTTACCTGAGGTTCACAATGTGGTTTCCATGCAAAGACAGAAACAGGCTGAGCTGTTGCCAAAGGCGACACCTGGACACCTAGAGACAAGGGGGCAGACAGCAGAGCCGCCCTCGGATACTCGTAGTTATCCGAAGCAATCCCCTGGGCATGCCACTGCGCTGTCCAAGAGTAGTCCAAGTCTTGATCCCAATCGCATTTACCAATCAAACGCGTCTCCCATTTGGGATTCTATTACATCAGTTCAGCAGTCCTTTGACGATTCCAAATCATTGTCATCTCTCCCTTCCTCCATACGTAGTATCGATCACCTTCGTGCAACACCAGGCGCACTCAGTATGCACCGTCCTTCTGTGAGTCCCGGTGTATGGCTGCGAAACCCAACTATGGGCCTCGATGTGCGTTCCCCATCCAAACCAGTGCCGCCATCATCCGCCGACGAGGGTGGGGATAGAAAGAAATCATTCATCGGAGGCATAAAGACTATTCTCCAACGTCTCCAACGCCGTTCTGATTCATGGGTTCCTAGCCAGCCAAGTTTCAGTTCCGATCGCCCTAAAACAACTACACACCGCCGCGAACAGTCCAGGGAAAATACGCCCAATGCCAGTGCGCAAGCCATCCGCGAAAGGAACGCAGCATCCCATGAGCAGCTGGGGTCCACAGGCGACAGTTATTCATCGGGCACAGGGTCTTTACCAGCTTCAGTGACATCAGCAGCAGCGACCAGCTCACATGGTGAGACCAACATGGGTGTCATTAAAGCTCTCCTTCAAACTTCCGCTATTTCTCTTAAACCCGTCCTTATGCCAAATCTCGATCAGATTCCGAACATGCTCCTGGCGTGGATTAAAATCTATGAGGTATGTACAATACTTGTGTTACTTTGGTGATCTTATCAATGTCTTTGGTTTTGCTACGTCGACTTAGAGTGTCACCAGCAATGTTGAAGACATAGAGAAGCTGCATTTCGTGATCCAGCAAGTGCAGAGCTCGGTGCTTCAACCCCTCCAGGAGTGGACCGGCGAGATTCCTCCCGAGCTAGAAAGTCTAACACGAGGGTTTTACGCGTATGTTTGTCGCCTCCGTCGCATTCTTATTGCCCGCCCTAACATATTCCTGTAGAGCCCTGAAAAAACAAGTAGAGGAAATTAAATCGGTCCAGCGCAAGAATTTGCTGAAGGAGGCCATTCAGACATCTGATGTAATACGGCAAACAATTAGGATGGAGAACTGCCTAAATGTTGCTATTTATCGCTCCGAGGTTTATCACTTCAGTGTTATTCAGGCGATTGGACCTTGACCGAATGTGTTCTCCGCAGCTCAGGATATCAACTTTAATTCTGCTACGTACTGAACGTTTGTCGGTGCAGTGTACGTTTTTCTCCACACGAGCATGAACTCCTTATTGAGTGCAGCTTTCAGCGGAGCTTTCGAGACTCAAGCCGGTCGCTGCCGAGTACACGTATGTCAAGAGCAAGTCGGAATGTCTTGAACAGACGCGGGTCCAGATACAAGCATCTCTATTGAAATATCTCAAGGTGCCCGAGAATCGATTCACGTGGTTGCGTGGGTCCCCTGGTACCGGGAAGACGGCAATTTGTATGAGCGTTGCATCCACCCTCAACGGTCAGGGTACCCTGGCGGCGTCGTTCTTCTGGGATAAGAACCAAGCGGCGACGGGCCTCGATTCCATTGAACACTTTCCTTCCACTCTCGCGCGCCAATTCGCGGTCTTTAACGAGGACTTCAAGATGTCGCTTGTCAAACACCTTCGACATCCATCTTTAGACTTTGTCACGAGCCTTCCTCTAGATGACCAAATGAACTGCTTGATCATCAAACCAATGTACGATATGATAGAGATGCTGCCCTCTGGAACGGACCGCTTCGTCGTTGTGCTAGACGGTTTAGATGAGTGCGGGAATCCCGAGGCACTTAAGACTTTGATGGAGCTCGTGCTAAAGCTTCATGACTTGCCCTACTCATTTGCCGTGTTGGTGAGCTCTCGTCCAGAGACGCAGGTTGTTAGGGCTTGGGCTCGAGCTCGATCGATGGGCCATGTCATTCCGTGCGTGGATACCGACATGATTGACAAGAGTGACACTTTTCACACAATACGCCGCATGGTACATGAGGGGCTTACGGAATGCATCTCGGAGTCTTCATGGAAACCATCAGAAAAGGATCTTGACGCTTTCACTTCGGCATGTCGCGAATTGCCCGTTATCGCTTCATTGCGCATACGTGAGGTATGCGTTCAGACTGAACGAGGCGCCACCCTTAAATCGGAGTTCGATTACTTCCGAGACCTCCTCGACACGCCGACTGATCTCAATTCGGAGTACCTACGAATACTGCGGCGAGCCTATATGCCCGACCCGCTGCGCGTCCGTCGAAATGTAATTGAAAATTACCGCCTTGTAGTGGGGGTGATTGGTGGGGCACGGGAGCCGTTGAGTTTGTATTCTATCTCACAGCTATTAGGAATTACGGAGGATGAGGTCTATGCCACTTTGAGACCGATCAGTTCAATCATCGATCTCCCCTTAACAGGACGAGGGCAACCCAGATTTTATCATGCGACGGCGAAGGAGTTCGTTATGGGGGAACCGATTGGTGATGCAGGCGATCTTTCCTTCTTTATCAATGATAAGAACGGGTATTTCTTGGGGATGCTGCTCCTTCGATTTCTACGGGGCGTCATCGAACGGAATGACTTCATGATACCCACCAATCGTCCTTTAGGAGCCGAGGAAAAGTGGAAGGAATTCCAGAAGAAGGAGCGACCTGACCATGTCCGGTACGCTGTCAAGCACTTGTTCAGCCACTTGGATCCTCTGGCGTTGTTCTCGCAAGATTCCAACGAATTGCAGGAGGAGTTTGATCATTTCCTTACCCAAAGCCTGCTTTCGTTCATTGCGCTGTCGGGTGGTGACTTCGAGTTGCCAGGTGAATTACTTCGATCTGACGTAAGTTTAGACTCTGTTGATTTCAATAGTGTGACATTATTTCACTCTAGAATCACAATTCAACTCAGCTATTGAGAGAAACCAAAAGGATAAGCAAATATGTCCTTCACCCTTGTTATGGGTGCAGAGGCGAAGCTAAAGGGTACTCCTTGATGGGGCCTGTGTATTCATTTGATCCCTGGCACATTTTTCGATCGATGCTTCCCTTCACTCCAACTCCATCCCCACTCTTCAAATTGTACCATCATCTCTTGGATCCCGTTCGGATCTTCAGCATTTCCGGAGAGTTCGCTGGTCATTTAATTCCATTAAGCAAGGACTCACTCAATGCTCGGAAGGTCATGCAGGCAAAGCTAAGCAATCGGCGAAAGGTGGTTGATCACAGGGGTCTGGAGATAATCGATTACAAAGCTGAATTTCTTGATCCTGATATTCGAAAAAGCATCGTGAGCTCGGCAGCGATCTCAAAGGACGGTCATTTCATTGCGCTCGGCTTTGGAAATGGTGACATCGAAGTTGTTGACATTGATCAGCAGCATGCCATCACTCGATTCCAATGTAACTCGCGCAATCCCCTAGCATGGATCGAGTTTATCTCCGGCGGGCATCGGATTGCTGTCGAAGACAATGAGGGGAACATATTCATCTTCGACAACGGTATGCAGCCGCTGAAGCTTGGTACCCTCCCCAGTGGGTGTTATCCACCTGTCACTGAGGTGGCGGATAATGGGTCGTTCATTGTACGACTCCCGCGGCATCTTGGCTCCTACTGGTATGACGGCGTGGCGATCCTGTATCTTTCGGGGGAGCCATCCATTTGTATTTTTTCCACCCCTGGGTTTATACCTGTTCCAGCTCGCCTCCCAACTATTCCTTGCGGTCTCACACTTGAACTGTCTCCTGGTGCACGATATGTTGTCGCTTGTGATCGGAAACACGCTTTCATTTGGTCAACAGAGTCGCGCAAGTTCATCGCTCATTATGACCTACCAAATTTCGAAGCTTTTGTTACTGGTGCAACAACATTCCGCCCGTACATCGCCACTGGGACCCAGCATTCAGAGGGTAGTATCCCTCATATTCAGGGTTCCGGGGTTGAGTGCGACTTGGACAAATCGTGGCTGGAGTCGCTGTCTCATAAACGCTTATATCATTTTTATAGTCCAGCAATGGGTGGTGCCGCGAAGCCAAAATTATATCTCAATAACACATTGAAACTCATTCTCCCAATTGAATATCATCCAGTTCCTAACCGGCCAGAAGGATGGTATGGGGATCGGGTGATATGGGTTGAGGATTTCATCTACTTTCCTCGTGCTAGCGAGGATGGGACGCGACTTTTGGTTCAGGGTGGTATGAAAGCCCCGATTGTCGTTGATATCGGCCAAATCGCTTAGCATCTCTGTTGATGTCCATGATCCCCTTTCTTTGTCCATTCGAGTTCTACTATTTGGAGGGTGGAGGAAGAATTAAACATAATGGGATGCTGATCTCATGGCAGAGATGGTGTGGCATGTTGGATGCATGAGTGGTGCATCAATGTGTGTACCTAGGGGGTGACAAATGACTGGCCAATAGTAAAATACAATTGTTGTGGTTTGTGAGTTACCTTGCTTGCAAGGTCTCTTTTGCATACACAATTCGTGGGAACTTTTACTTTCCCACATGTTGATATTGGTTTCTTTGGACCACGTGTGCTCTCTGTGCCCCTCCAAAATAAAGATATGTAATTTGTCATAAATTGTGAATGTTAGAGACCGGAGTGAGATGAAGGAGTTGTCTCCGTGGCGGAGGGCTTCGGCCTCAGCGACTCAGACCAGGAGTGCTGTGCCAAGTTACACATCCGTGCCCTAATTTACTTACTGGCAATGAGAACTAAAAAGGGGGATCAACTCTAGTCGATTTTATCACTGGAGTGTAACCTATGTACAAGTTAAGTATATATAGTTACAGCAAGGGCAGGCCCATGAATAGCGGGACCGAGTGGAGCGGAGCTAATGGGGATAGATGTTAGCTGACTGAATATTACCAACAAGTCAGGTTGCAGGTTTAACGGAATGATGGGTTATGACCCACAAGCAGAAAGGAGGGATAGGCCCAAAGGTAGGCTTGCAGGGCAAGCAAGTGAATTGCCCAGTGGAGGTGGGGATGCGCTAGTGGACGTTGGAACTGTCTGGAGAGCCTTGGGGCTCTCCTGTTGGTGGGGGGTGCAAGATCAATCAAATATCCCCTGAAATGCTGATTCAACTCATTATGCATGTGAACACAGCTGTGATTGCTTAAAGTTAGTACTAGAGTGTGATGCTGCGAATAGTTGCAAAGTAGCACCATGTCATGTGCAAGCAAGGTCATGGTTGTGAAGCAACCTTTCTAGTGGATCTGCATGCCAATGAGTAGATGGATGGATTCTGGGCATGAAGCAGGAGTTGTTAAGTGTGTAATCTTGGATGTGACAAAGCAATTTAACTCTAGCCCAGCTGTGATTAGGCTGAATGTTAGCACATAGAATGAATAGATTGGCATGTGAATGTCAGGGCATACCCTGCCTAACCCTGCGCTGCACCCTGTGCCACCCTGCCCTACTCCGCTTCCCCCGCCATCGCTCCCTGCTCCTCCCCTTTCTCTTTCCTCTTTCTCTCTATTTCTGTTCTATGGTCGACTTCCCCTTTCTCTATGTACCACTACACCTTAATGCCACTGCCTCTATTGCTGCACTGTAGGCAGGCACAGCCGGTACCACGCAAATGAGCCGATTATCGCGATTCTACCACCCACATCAAGCACCCCACTCCCAAAACACATCCACCACTGTTCCAGATACCCCTTCCACGTTTCCCATATTTTTTTCCGATTTTTTCAAGCCATTCCTGACCACGGACAACCATCAGTTTCCAAATTGGGTAACTGTCACCCGCATATTCCGCCCCTTCCTCCATATCTCCATCAATTCTCCACCGATCCGGACGAGTTTGGTATCATTGGAAAGCCCCTGTCAACACGAGTCGAACGATGTTAAGAGTGACGTATTTGGTTCAGCGGTTGTTCCGATCGCCATGTTTCTTTAGTTCCTTAACAACGTTAATATTGCTTTGATATTGCTTTTTTCTTAAGTGTTCCTTGTGGATCTGTTGCCATCCTAAACCCGTCGGATCATTCGGATTTCCACGTATTTCTTTCATATTTATAGTTACCCTCTTTCCTGTATTTACAAAAAAGGACTCCCCCAAAACAGAGAGAGGTGCTCCCCAACGAACATGAAGTTTTAGCAAGAAGCTTACCAGTGCCCAGAGCGGCGAATACAAAGCCACAGAGGCTCAAGACATAGTGCAGGGACAGAGTTCCCATCAGTTTGATTTTTAGTGAGATTTACGAGATTTATCATTTTTATCACATAGCACCGGACCATTTCTCCCCCCCCCCCTTCCTCATCATCCGAACCACCCCTGAGCATTCCCAACTCTGTGGCCCCCCTCTCTTTCTCGTTAGGGTGGTAGATCCCTTGCCCCCTTACAGTGCCTGCCACCCACATGCCTGCCCACACAGTGGCCACCCCCAGGATCTCCCATGGAGACACCCAGAGAGGTGTGGCTGTGTGCGGGGATGATGTGGCTCCCTCCATGTGACCTTAGCTGCATGTATATAATAGCACCTGGGGTGGGAACAGAAGAAGCAGCCTTCTTCTCACTTTCCCACTTCAGACCAAGTGGTCAGGGATGCTCACCCCGTAATGGGACTGCTGCTAGGCATAGCTGATACTCATCCCATCGAGTCCCCTGCACTGGGACTTCACTACTTTCGGAGCTGTCCCTGACAGCAGAAGAAGGCTTTAACCTCATTTCCCCCACCTCCCCTACCTCTCCTGCTATGGTGACTGAAGAGCAGTATGACAAGCTGCTGTCCCAATTCCAAGAGCTCCAGGCCATCATGGAGAGCCAAGCCCAAAATCAACCCCCAGCTGTGCCTGCACTGGCACCAGCGCCGGTGTAGGAGTGCATAACAGGTGTGCTCAATTTCATGGAACCATACGCAGCAAATACATCAAAATTGGGCTCCTGCCCTTGTACATTATTAGGAAAAAGGAATTATAGGGGGAAGTAATAAGAAAGAAGAAAGAGGGTTTTCGTACGAACCGAAAGAGCCTTTCCGCAAAGGAATTGGTTGAGATTTGGTGGAGAAATTCAACCTGAGATGTCCTCATGTGCGAAGTCTGTGTGTCAGGGACCGACCCAGGGTCGAGAGCATCCGGGTATATCGCCCGGGGCTGAGGGCCCGGTAGGGTGTGATGTGGGCGCATGTAGCAATGGGCCTGAAGCAGACAGGTGTCCCTGGCCGCTTAGGCTGGAGTGGGGGTGTGTTGTTATTGTTAACAAGGGGAATGTAAGCTACTTGCCTAAAGTGGGAAGTGTGAGAAGAAGGTTGCTTCTCAGTTCCCACTTAGGCTGTGTTTATATACATGTGGTTAAGGCCACGTGGGAAGCGCCACATCATCTACGCACACAGCCACATCCATCTGGGTGCCTCTGCAAGAGGTCCCAGGAGCATCTGGTATGCAGGAGGTCATCTGGTGTGTCTGGGTCCAGGCACATTACACTGCAGCTGGGTCAATGGTACATTGATACAAGGGAAGTCATCCGTGTGATAAGAAGAGAAGAAAGAGGAAAGAGAGGAGAAGAGAGAAGGAGAGGGTAGAAGGGAAAAGGGGGAAGGTCGGGAGGAGCGGATGGTGGGGCACCGGGTGAGGTGGGGCCTGGTCAGGCCTGACACTGTGCACTTGACCATGACCAAGGGAACAAGGTCAAAAGAGGATGATCTTGGGGTCATTAAATGCCCAAAGACTCAGTGTTGAATTTCACCCTAATCAGTTCAGTGGTTGTGGAGATATTCTGAGTATCAGGCATGATGGGAGTCACAGGACAATATGAACTATGCGGATGCTCACATGCGAGCTAGTCTCAGTGAAATTCCAAGAGAATATGGGCTAGTTAAATGATACAAATGCTAAAGAAGTCATTGGAGGAGTCTTGGAATTATGGCATATTATTTGGTCCAAGTTTCCCTGTGCACAGATAATCAAGATATGTATTCCATGTCTGAGAATTCCCATTCTCAGTCAAATCTCTACCAAATTTCACAAAATCGGTATCGTTAGAAAGCTATGGATGAGGAGAGTCGAATGGAATAAAGGGACGGAGTTTTGACGCAGTGTTTGGAGTGGTATGAGGAAGTTTGTGTTTTTCTTTTCATTTTCTTTTGTTGTTTGGAATTTTACTCTAAGCCAATGGCAGCTGAACCTGTATATTTTGGACTCTTTTCACAAGTTGTATGTTTGCTGTATGGGTATATGTACATAGCGATTGAAATGGAATAGACAATTCCCCCCTCTCCCTCCATCTTTGAAGTCAGTGTGTTGTGAGCAGCCACTTGACTGGTAAGGGCAACAGAGGCCCTTAGGGAAATCCACCATGACAAGAAATTGAAGATTACATAGTGTTACCTCGAGTTCTCCCCCTAGTTGATTTCACGGACCTGTCAATTGTCACACCCCTAGCCCCTACTTTCTTCCCTAATCCTTTGGGGAGTGAGTGAGAGTGCTTTCCTACCATCTTCAGAGTTTGGTCTGCGCTCCTGCTTGCACCAGCACCAGCACCAGTGCCTGCACCCACCCCCAGACCCAAACCACCTAAGGTTGCCCCCCCCACCCCCTTCTCTGGAGCAACCGAAGACCTTGACTGCTTCAAGGCTGAATGTGGCATATACTTCCATGTTCAGGCAGCGGAGTTCCCCAATGCCCTCTCCCAAATCCTCTTTGTCCTATCCTACATGAAGGGAGGGACTGCAGGGGTGTGGGCAATGCAGTGCACCATCTCACTGCTGACAACAGGTTCCCCTGGGCTCACCATGGACAAGTTCAACAATGTTCCAAGACCTGAACCATGAGGCCATGGCCAGGCAGAAGCTGGCCACCCTGTGACAAGGCACCGACTCTGTGGACAAGGTCATCCAAGAGTTTGAGATCCTCCACCCTGCCTTGTGGCTAGGAGATGTGGGGCTGGTAGACCGCTTCGAACAGGTGATCAACTCCTGGCTCTGTGAGTGTTATAGGAATGGACCTAGAATCTGATGGTCCGTGACTATGAACAATCAAGCCTTTGGTCCCTTCACCTTTATTTCACTGTCAAACCCCATGCCAAGCTTTCCCACTGGGTTTTGGTGCTGGCTGGGGAATTTGTTGAGTTTCAAGGGACTTCCCTTGACCATTGTGACTTTTATATTAGATAGTTAGAAGTCATATGATGTGTAAGGCAGATGCCGAAAAATGTCTTTCCTTATCTAATACATAACCCACAAAACCTTGTACCATGATTGTAACTGCCACACCATTGTGCCACCACTGTAAGCCTTCTCTGTAACATCTGACTTGGTCCATATTGATGTCTACATCGATATTCTTACAATCTGTGAGAAAACCTCAA